CCCTTGCCTCCGGAAACGGAAGGAATAATTCTTCTTACACCTGTTGCTCGGGAACAAGGAGTGTTTGTGCTTCCAGGTATGATAGATCCCACATATAGAGACACCCTAAAAGTCCAATTTTATACCAATCTCCCTGTCACAATGAACTGGGGGGATACGGTGGCACGCTTGGTCTTATTACCATGTCCAGCACCACCCATTCCAGAGGCTGCATATGCACCTCACTCTGGGAATTCTTCCTTTGCTTTATTGGCACTAACAAAGCAAATTACTCCCCAAAAACTGGTGATACCTTTTTTAATCAATGGCATTCTTTTTTCTGGTCTTGTAGACTCTGGTGCGGATGTCTCAGTCATAAGAACAGCTGAATGGCCCTCTAACTGGCCCCTGGAATCCTCACCAGCAGTCAGGGGAGTGGGAGGACTTCAACAAGCAAGCTCCAGTAAAAATTGGCTTACTGCACAACGAATCACAAAAGGCATTTCTGCTAAATTTAAACCTGTCATCCTCCCTCTTCACACAAATTTATGGGGCAGAGACTTACTCTCTCAATTTAATGTGAAGTTAACTCTGGAAGACTAACAATGCCTCCTTCACCCATGAAGCTTACGCTCCTTTCTGACACCCCCGTGTGGGTCCTCCTGGCACGGTGCAAACTGTTCTTCCCCAACTCATTCAGCTTTTAGCTTCTTATGGCTTTATTGTTGCCCCGGAAAAAGTTCAGACCCAATCTCCCTTTTTATATCTGGGACACAAAGTCCTAGCCTCTCATTCTGTTCCAGTACTCCCTGCCATCCACCTTCCTTCTCTTCTCACTTTAGTTGCTTTACAACAAATCTTGGGCACCATAAATTTTGTGCGTCCATTTCTTGCGCTCACCACTGCCCAATTGGCACCCTTGTTTTTGGCTTTGCGAGGCCACACTTCCCCCTCCTCTGTTATTGTTCTTAACCCCACTCAAAAACATGTTTTTGCCTTAATTAATAGTGCCCTCTCCACCCGCTGGGTGGACCGAGCCATTCCCAATGAGCCTTTGTCTTTGGCCATATTTAATACTCCCTCTATTCCTACAGTTGCCCTTCTCCAACATCAAAAGGGGAGCGTCTCCATTGTTGAATAGATTCACCTCCCCAATACCCCTCGCAAATCTATCAATCCACTGCCATTTATGTTTGCTCTTTTAATTACAAAGGGCCGTTTTCGAGCAAAATGTTTAATTGGATTTGATATTGTTTTTTTATATGTCCCCATGTCTCTTACTATATGGGAACCTTTATTTGCCTCTTCAGATATATTGCAACTTTCTCTTGCTGACTGGGCAGGATCTGTTTCCTGTCATATTCCCTCTGACCCTCGCTTCCAACTCCTTAATAATGTTTCAATTTCTCTGCATTCTCCCATTTCCTCCTCTCCCATTCCTAACGCTGTCACCCTGTATGTTGATGGCAGCAAGACTTATGGTTCATGTGTATGGAAGGAGGGTGAACAATGGCACACAAAAATTACTCCTCCTCAAACTTCTGCTCAGCGTGCTGAACTTGCCGCTACAATTCTGGCCTTACAAACTTTTTCTTCTGAACCTTTTAATCTTATTTTAGATAGTCTTTATGTATATAAAGTTCTCACTTCTTTATCTGACTCATATGTGTCACCCTCATTGGATGACTCTCTCTTCAGTCTATTTCTCACACTCCAATCCCTTCTTCATTCCCGCTCTACTTGTTTTTTTCCTGCTCATATTAGAAGTCACCAACCTTTCCCTGGTATTATCTCCGAAGGCAATGCCAAGGCGGATGCTGCCGCTTTGGCCTCCTCCACTCACCAGGACGTTTCTGTCCTTGTTTTATCTCTCATAACCCCATGGGACAGCCATTCATATTTTCATCAAAATAAGAAGGCTTTAATGAAACAATTTTCTTTAACAGCTACGGAGGCTGCGGCTATCATACAACAATGTCCCACCTGCAGCCTCCAAGCACACTCTGTTCCTCAAGGGGTCAACCCAAGAGGGACGCAGAGCTGTCAACTTTGGCAAATGGATGTTACGCAATATTTGCCATTTGCCCCCTGGAAATATTTGCATGTTTCCATTGACACCTATTCAGGTTTTATTATGGCCACCCCTCAAAGGGGTGAGTCTGCTAAACATGTTATTAATCATTGTATTCGTACCTTTTCTATCCTGGGCAATCCAAAAGAAATTAAAACTGACAACGCTCCTGCTTATACCAGCACCTCCTTTGCGCAGTTTTGCTCTTGCTGGTCTATTGTTCATAAATTTGGCATTCCATATAACTCCACTGGTCAAGCGATCGTGGAATGAGCCAATCAGACCGTAAAAAGGGCTCTAGACATGCATGCAAAAAAGAAAGGGGAAAATACCCCCGGCTTGCCTGGGATACAAAACACTCTTAATCTTGTACTTTTTACCTTAAACTTTTTGAATGTTTCTGGCACCCCTGGCTCAACTGCCGCAAGCAGGCATTTTTCTGCTTCTCCCACAGATTCTTCATGCCCCCAGGTATACTATCAACGTTTGCCTGATCCCACCTGGAAAGGGCCTGCCTCCCTCATTACCTGGGGTCGAGGTTACGCTGCAATAGACGACCATGGCGAGATCATTTGGACTCCAGCTCGTTGTGTTCGTCCTTATATGGCTCAACGTACACCACCTCAGCCAGGCATATGAGGATCAGGGACTGTGGGCTTTTAATGCTTTTGTACGGGATGCCAGGCGCACTGCTCTTACACTTAACGTCACGAACTGTTGGATTTGCATGCAAATTCCTGGTGACAGTCGTGGTGGCCTTATTTTCCATGCCATCCCGTTCAATGAAACAGGATGGAAGCAGCTGTGGAAAATAACTACAGAGACATTGAATATGACATATGCTGTGGGCGCTCGTATAATGGAACCTGCCAGATTTTGTTTTTATAGCACAGGACTATTCCGTACTGCCATTTATTTGGGAACTTATAATAATTGTCAACAAGTTATTATATGGAATTCAGCAAAGAAATGCAAATCCATCAAAAGCAACCTTACTAAGGTAAATGACACTTATCGAAACAATCAATGGACAAACATCAGTACCTACATGGCTTGCCTTGACATGGAATCCATAATAACATTTGCTAATGAGTCTCACCAGGGTTATTATGAGTTATCCGATATGTGGCTACTATGTGGCCGTAGAGCCTATCGCCAGGTGCCTAAGGATTGGAAAGGCATCTGTACACTAGGCCTTTTGACTCCTGCTGTATATGCCTTGCCTCATCTCCCTGATGGACGCCTGCGGAACAAACGTGATACTGGTTCCTTGGATCCACCCCTAACATTGGGTGGTAGTTTAGAGACTCAAATCAGCAGAGGAATATTGCCCAATCTAGGAGTTGCCATGAACTATAGAGATCTTCATTTGCTTAACAATTGGACTGTTCATATGTTTAATGAAACAATCAACAGCATTAAAATGATTAATCAAGAAATGGGGGAAATAAGGGAAGTAGTTTTGCAAAATCGGTATGCTTTAGATATTATTTTAGCAGCAAAAGGCGGTGTATGTGCCTTAATTCATTCTCATTGTTGTATGTATATACATGATTTTCAACCTAATATTTCTGCTACAGCAAGGAAAATGGAATCTATGCTCCAAAATAATCCCTTACGCAGCGATGGATCAGGCACCGTGGATATTTGGGGTGCCCTTTGGTCCTGGCTACCGGATGGATCCTGGCTACGATCTTTGATTTCTATTATAGTAACCATTTTGATATTATTTGTATTGCTATGTTGTTGCATTCAATGTATTCCCTCCCTCCTGCAAATGTGCAAAAATGTTACGCCCTCCACTAGGAAGGACGCCTTAATCAGTGAATCAAGATCCCTTCTGGAACTGGAAGTGAGTAACATTAAAAAAACACAAAACGAGGAGATGTGGGATTAATTGCACAAATATATCCATGGGTATGCTCCCACAAGATCCTTGAGATAAGAAACGGACTGCTCCAGACACAGGATACATTCATCAGCCTTTTGGACAGAGTCTGATAGGAACACCTGCGTAGCCTTGCATCTGGAGAGTGTCTGTTATGCGATACATTGTAACCACCCCTATATACGTCTTTTGATTATGCTGTGTGATGTAAAAACATTAGTAACAATAAAATAGGGTGTTGGAGTCAGCTCTGGGCTCCCATCCCGAGATACCTGTGTGCGTGTCTCATTCTCCATGGGAGACCACCACAGCCCCCAAACTTCTTTCTGGCTTCATAAGTCTCTTCCAACCACAATTGTTTCGTTTCCCACAGTTTTGAGGAAAACAATAAACATAAAACCTGCAGTTCCACACATCTTAAACTTTAAAGAAAGAAAAGTAAAATCTAGCTCTGCTCATAGCTCAGATGGATTTATTTACCACGTTGCATGTCTTTTCTTTCCAAGCAATTTTAAGAACAATCTCTAGCCATTCAAGGTTTTCCACTTCTGAACTAAAGAAACCATTGCTGGGTATATTGAACTATAAAACTGCCACATTCATTTTAGCCTTACATTTTGTGGGTTGGTTTTAGTTAAATCGATTAAGTAAACACAATTCACTCTGAAGAGAATAGGGAAATTTCTGAAAGCCAAGAACAGAACAAGAGCTAGTGGGGGAGATAAAAATCTCAAATGTGTGCAATGAATTGGGTTTGTATAAGTCAGCTTTCTTTCCATGAAAAAAGAATAGCTTAGAAATAATATCAAGACAACTAAATGATGTAAGTGTGGTTTAATTTTTTTTAACTTTCTAGGGAAATACATGTGTAATTATAGATGAAAATAATTGTAAAATGGGCTATTTGTTTTTTTGTTAGATTCTTACTTACCTTTTAATTATAGTTTTTTATTAAATTTGTCATGTTGTTTAGATCAGATTTCATGATTAGGAATCTGTTGCATTTTTAAAAGAGAAATAAAAGATTGACATTTCTGCACAAAGATACACAAATGAAGGTGGTTAATTGATAAGTTCTTTTTTATTAGCTTTTAGCTAAACTACTGTATATGCTTGCAGTTTATAGCAATCCAAATAAAGCATATAAACTTTTTTAAAGAATAGCATTTTAAGATTGCTCCCCCCTAAACCTGGATATGATGTTTTGTAGGATCAAAATAGCAAGTGATAAAACTGAGCTGCTTGCAAAATGCAACTTCAGGTTTCTCTGTTTTCGAAGAGGAAGTTAGAATATGTTATAAAGTTGCTTATTCCTGGGACTCCATTCCTTCACAAAAAAATAGGAAATGCAGACTGTATTTCTCATCAAACTAGAACTTATGGTTCACTATAGTAATTGACTGGCAGTAGATTCAGGATTGAAAAAGTGTTCACTGCTTATATTCAATGTGCATTCATATAAAGGTAAGATCATATATCATGATTTGCTTAATCACAGTTGATTGACTTGGTACAACATGGGAAGCTGTGAATCATATAAGATCTACCATGGCTAAGCAAGATGTACAGATTTACTGTATATGTTCCAAAAGTGGTAAGAAACTCTCTGTAATTCACATTGGTTTGTTCATATAGTAGAATCCTAAAGTTGATGCATTTCCTTCACCTGACTGCCATCACATTAGAGACAACCGGGCTACATATCAGCCAATTTTGGCTGCAAAAATCCAGATTGAGCTTTAGAGGGCAATAAAGAAAGGACTTCCCAACTCTATTTAGTCATTTGGAGCTTTGAAATCTAGTCATTATATGACTATATAATTGGGGTTTATATGATGTTCAAGAGCTGCATTCTCATCCCCACCATTGTTTTACTACTGTAATCTGTTTTCTTGGGGCAAGGCTTTTGCTGTGCACTTAACAAGCAAGGAAACCCATGGAAGTTAGAACATTCTGCAGCTGCTTTATCTTTAGCTGTGAATATTGAAATCTACTGTATTAATTTTAGAAATTTAGAATGTTTAGAAACTGCTTTTAACCTACCACATGCCCAACCAGATTTGCTTATGGATTAAGCCAGATAGTAACCAAACATGCACCATTCTTAATCTGCTAATTTTGCTAATTGCAAAATTACAAATACCAGAGCTAGAAATTCTGGCAAGATTGACTGATGGATAATACTCAAATAAACATTCTCTAATAAAATTCTCTAATACAATCTTTACTTTTGCTTTTTAAAATTTTTGAGATTTGATGCTCCTGTTTTAATTAATGATATCCATGCACAGAATATGTGTTCCCAATCCCTCAGAATTGTGTTACTTTTATCTGATGTGAGTGAATTGTAACAAGATATCACTTCATTTATATATATATATATAGAAATGAAGTGATGTCACTTTACATATATATATATGTACAAAATAAACAAAAACATGCTGCAATTATACGAACAAATATTGATGACAGAAATTACAAGGCTTTTCCTTTTCTTCTTTTTTTTTGTTGTGATCACAAATCAATTTGGTGGTTTAGCAGATACTAAATTAACAAGGATTCTTTTTTCTGATTTCTTACCACTTTTTTTCCGTTGAACATTTTTTCACACAATGAATAATGTGCTTTCTTGTGAAACATCACTGATTTCTATATTCCATTCAGAAATATTGCTGTAAAGCTTGCCATGTCTACATAATGTATATATCACTGCCTCAAAAGAGGAAATCATTGTAACTGAAAATTTGATCTTAAAAATAAATAGATAAATATTCCTTACAATGGCTATTTTTCATTATACTAAGCTGGCTACTTAAACATTTCAATGGACAATGGAAAAATTGTCTCATTTGCGTCTTCTTTCAAACATTTGTAGGGCACTCCATTCAGAAGATCCTAACGGAAACAAAATAGTGCAGATTAATTGAATGTAATGAATAAATGATTACATATCTTGATCAGCTTGTCTGAAAAGTAAGATTCAGTGTGATGAATTTCCATTGTAAACTGTGCCAATCAGACCATAACTGGAGTGCTGCTTCCTAATTCTGAGTGTTGCATAAATTTGATTCAGAGATTTTAACTCATCTGAGCCACCCTCCAATATTGGCATGTAATTTATCCCTGCCACAGAGCTTCTGCTTCTGTTGAATCAGGAAGTCTTTGACCCTGAAAACATTTCAGTGTTATTCAGGAAAACAAAACTGAAGTTTTCTTAAAATTTTATCACTCAGAATGACAAGAGGAAGTTTGAAGAACTATTTGCATCATAAGGTGTCACTCAAATTTTCATTTGAGGAATTTCCAGGATCATCTGGCAAATGTATTGTTCACCCTCTACTATATGTCCTGCAGTGACCAGGAGGTTGAATCTAGTGACTTTCAGAGTACTTACAATAAAACATAGAGTTGCCTTACAGCTGTAATTACTGTTGATTTAGCAGTTTTCCTCAATCTGGATAATCTCTAAATGTGTGGATTTAGCTCCCAAAGTTCTCAGAATTGGCTATGTTAGCTTGAGAATTTTGGGAGTTCATATTTACATATCTGGAAGATGTTGGCCTGGGGAAGGTTATGTTAGTATACTGCTAATTAGAGAAGCAAGTGCTAGATCTTCCATTTTGTTGGTTTTCATAAATACTTAAAAATCTAATCTCCATAACTATAAATAAAGGAAGGGACATTTTCCGATGTAATTATTTTATCACTTTTATAGACATTTTTTCAATTCCCAGTATAATGCATTTCTAGTTTAGATTTTTAAGTTGAATAAGCTTACATGAATGTACTAAATACATTCAGTAGTATTATCTGATGCATTTTTTAGTGATTTGTTAGTAATTGAAACTGTAAACACGTCCCCGTGTTAAATAAGATATGAATGTATTCTCCTGCCTCTGGCAAAACATTAGTGTACCCAGATATCTGTGTGATAGCAATTTCTACAATGTAATTTTTGAGATTCAAATATTCACATGGTGTCTTTCAGAAATATAGTCTCCAAGGCTCCTTGTAATGCCAGTTTGGATATTTTGATATCTATACTGGCTTACAACCTGAAAGCTAGGCCACAAGCTAGGTCATACTGTGTTCACATAATTAACTGAAACTTGGTTTACTAAGGCAATTTGTACAATATAGAACCTTGGTTAAATACATCAGTTGATTTTGTACAGGGTGTTGATTTAAAATATTGGTTAGTGAAGCTGCAGAATATTTTTCACAGTAATAATGCTGTGAAAACCTATTCTATTATTTAGTGGGATCTAACTATGTTATTTTCTATAGCAATTTTGAAAAAATAAGTTTTAAAAACCCATCGTTTATTATTTTATATTTTCAAACATATGATCACAATACAAATTGAATTTCAGCTCAGACTCAGCTCTGTTAATTGGTATTTACAAATGCAAGAGCATTTAATGGATATCTTTCTCAGATAAATTATTCCCTTAATTGTTCATGATTCATAGTAATTTGTAGAACTAAATAAGATATGACCTTGATATATTGCAGTCCTAAATACTGCTAGATTGAAATTTAAAGCCCTTGACAATTATAATTTCAGAAAATAGTTTACTGGGTACACATTAAAGAATTGCAAAACCATTAGATGATATAGTTCGGTCATCTATTTAGAGAAATAAGAGAAACTGTTTCTTTTAAAATATTTCAGTAGTTTTAAAAATGTTTTTTAAATTAAGTTACCAAAAATACACACTCCCTGGATAGACTAACAGATTTTAAATTTATAAATTATATGATAATAAACCAGGAATTGATGCTGCATAACACAAAATTTGATTTGATTCTATAAAGATGTATTGATACTGGAGGCAGAGAGGATCATACAAGAAAAGTAAATGGATCACTATTCTGCCTGTAAAGAAGATAGCAATTCATGGAGGAAGAAACAGTGATGAAAGGTGAAAAATATTCAACCTCCTTTTTTCCTAGAGGAACTTGTGTTTTCTCAAAGATTTTTGATTCCAAAGACCATCCTTCCTGTTTATGCTACTTTTATAAAAAGTGAGTCCTGGCAACTTCTGGAGAACTCAGGTTATCTGTCTTTGTCTTAAATATTGTAAAAAGGCTGTGTATTCAAAATAAAAATTGCAGATAAGTAGGTTTTTGTTTAGCTTTCATTTTATAGTTTATACATACCAGAATTTAATGATCTTTTGCCCATGAGTCCAACAAATGAGTCTGTTTTATATCCTGAAAAATATATTTGTGGGGTGTTTAATTACAATACATTTGAAAGATTCCTTTCTGGGGAAAAAAAAAACAATTTGGAATGGGAATGCATTTTCACATTGAAATACACAGTAAAAACAGACTCTAAATATAGTTGAACCCAAGGCTAAATAAATCTGACCCTTAGTTATGAGAAATTTTAGTACAAATAAAGATTTTTAAAAATCTTATTTCTGCAGAATCTGATCTTTACTATCTTTTCATTTAAAATGAGACTGAATAATAAAAAGTGGCTTCCAAAAGTGAGCTCTTTGGCTAGGCTGTATTTTAAAGCACTAATTTATTATTCATAGCTTCTAGGCAGTTCCTTCAACATACTTTGGAATGTGGAGTCATTGACGCTCTCTGAGTTTTGGTTATTTGTTTACAAACCTGGACATGGAGGAGCAAAGAGGGAAAGAATTGTTAACACACATATTTCCCAGAGAGAAGTCTGGATCAAGGTACTGCACATTCCAAAGCTAGATAGAGAAGCAGGAAAGAGATTCAGGGTAGCCAGAACCTAGAATTTCTCAGGATATTTAGGTTACAAGGTTATAACTTTGGGTTGGCAAGTTTTCTGTCCAGTAAATGTAAGGAAATAAAGGATTGAACCTGACTGGATTTTGCTCTGATATCTCTGTGAGGTATATATACATACATACATACATACATACATACATACACACACACATATATATACACACACATATATATATATATACACACATACATACAAATAAAAGAAACAAACACCAGGATATAATAAACCAGCCTGTTTAATATAAACAAGCCTGTAGTTAAGAAGAGTCACTCTGATGACGCCGGCAGTTTTTCGCCGGACGAAAGCTTAGTGACTCTTCTTAACCATAGGCTTGTTTATATTAAACAGGCTGGTTTATTAAATCCTATATATGTGTTTTCTGAGGTTTTTGCGGGTATTTGTATATAGGTCTTTGGTTATTCGGGTTTTCTCCCGCATAAAATTGGAAGTGTCTTGGCGATGTTTTGATGAAGTCTCATTTGTCTTCCAATTTTACGTGGGAGAAAACCCGAATAACTAAAGACCTATATATATATATATATATATATATATATATATATATATATATATATATATATATATATATATATATATATATATTCTACTTCTGCTTTTATAGTGATGTAATTCTCTGTTTCTCTAATAATTATTTCTTTATTATGTACCCAGTTAACATTTTTTAAAAAAAATATTAGTGCAATGAATTAATACTTTCTTTGAGAAAGACTGAGCCATTTTAAAAATTGCTTTGGTATGATCTGAACCTATTGCAAATTATTCTTTGGAAAGTTTTTCTCCAGAACTCTTCAAATTATTGATCAATGCAAAATAAATGGCCAGGCTTTCATGGTCTGGAATGCCATGCACATATGAAATATTTGTAAGCACTGTGAGATTTTTTTTCTTTACCAGATCATAATTTTGACAGCAGCCAATAAATATAGTGGAATAAGTGGACAGAAGCTTTGGATGTAATTCAAGCAGATTTGATCCCCCAAGATTTAATTCAACACTTAATCAGGAACCCCAAAGACATTTTCAAATCTTTGATAGAATAGTTTGTGTTTTGTAAAACCCAGCAAAATAAAATAAAATATATAGTGTTTTAATCTTCCTGTAACCTAAGCTTCTGGGTTTTGGCTAAAGCTTTAGACAGTTTGGAGAAAAGAATAAAAATCAGATTGCTTAACAGATCTCTGTGATTCTCTTTTCTGGTGCTAAAAAAAATCAACTATTTTCCTGAGCTGGCTTGCAATGAATGTATTGTACATTTAATATGTTCACTATAGAAGAATCAATAAAATGACTGTCTGTCTGTCTGCCATCTACCCCACCTCTCTCTTATTTGTTTGGAATTGTTAAGGTTCACCAACCCTAAAAAGATTCTGTGCAGCTTACAATACATCCCATACATAAGAAATACAATTAAAACAAGATGATTTCCTAGAGTAAAACAGCATTCTCATAATTTAGAAAAAAGACAACACAAGCATCACATACACCCTAATTACCAGGTCTGTTAAGGGATATCTAGAACCTTGGACAGATTTACTATTTGTAAACTTACTTGCGAATAAGTCTCAATGTTCTCAGTGGGGCATTTCTTTAATAACTTTCAGATACCTTTTTAGCAGCTATGCAGTACATTTTCTTTTAATATTTTTTTTACATCCCTAAGGATTCCAGTAAGTAAAATAGTTATGAAATGGGATAAAGCTATGATACCAGGTGGGATTAAACAGGTAGTATTTTTAAAGATTTGTAAGTTTTTCCAAGAAAGTTTGTCTTTGGTTCCCATAGAAATCAAATATTAAATCAAATCAGTTTTGTGGGTGATTTGCTACTGAACTTTGATATCATGATCAGGGCATGGCAGAAGGATTGAAACCACACTGGAAGTAGTTTATGTTAAATTGATAAAGTGACAGCTTTACTGTACCAACAAAGTGTCTTTTGAGAAAAATCTCAAATGTACTGTTTCATAATAAAATAGTACCCTGTGGTTATAAAACTGGAATTTCAGAGTTCAGCCTGCATGATCTTGTTCAGAAGTAAGCCTTGCTTTGTTTACAGAATCTTATCCCTAGAAGATTTAGGAATGAAGAATCAGTGAAACTTATCTGAGGTACAAATAGGTACAACAATAGAAGATTGAATAGCCTGAAGGGATCCATTTTCTTCTCTCTGTTTAGAGTATCTATGCATGGTGGTGCAGTGATTAAAATGTAGTTTTGCAGATTCTGTCCACAGCCAGGAGTTTGATCCTGATTGGCCCAAGGTTGATTCAACCTTCCATTCCTCTGAGGTCAGTAAAATGAGGACCCAGATTGTTTGGGGGCAATATACTGACTCTGTAAACCACTTAGAGAAGGCTATAAAGCACTATATAAATCTAAATAGCTATTGCTATTACACGATATACACAACTGATTTATTCATATACCTTTTGCTTCTTTAGAACAATGTGCAAACTGAGAAGTAATAACTTGTATCTCCAGCAAACAAAACCTAGAAGTTCAGGGAAGGATGCAAACAAGCTTTCTGGGGGAAACTCATCATAGCCTGTTTTCTATTTCTTTCCAGGTGGTGCCATTCTCAAAGAACACGACCTAGCAACTCTGTATTATATATCATGTTTTATATATATATATATATATATATATATATATATATATCTGTTTTTTTCTTTTTTGATATTGCAAGCTCTCCACCCAATGAAAACCATTTCTGTCTAAGCCTAAACTGACATATCAAAAAATAAAAATAAAATAAAGCTGGAAATCTTTTCCCTGTCACTATATGTCCATATGGTATGGACTGTTATCAAAAAAGCCATTTCTCTCTATAGCTTCTGTTTCTACATTTACATATCCTAATCAGTATTACTCTGCTGATATGTTTTATGTAATCAACAGTCATTCTGGTAGCTCACTTCCATTTAGTAATGAAATAATTTGTATAAATGAGCTATTCCTTCAGTGGACAGTTAATAATTTTGGAGAGATTCTTGATTCATCCAAGCTTTGCTTATTTAGGCTGATTAATAACTTTCACTAATAAAAATGTTGGTTTTATTTCTCCAAATTACTTTAAAAGGTATCATTTTCTAACTGTCAAATTGTGTCAAATTAGAGTTATAAACTTAAGCTGTATTGCAAGTAAATGCCATTGGTGGTGCTAAATATTAACAAGGGATATTATGAGTTTAATAAATAATAATAATAAAATAGAGCTGAAGGGGACCTTGGAGGTATTCAAGTCCAGCCTCCTACGTAAGCAGGAGCACTTATACCATTACAGACAAGTAACTATATATTTCTGCTTAGATATTAGCCTCTTGAATTTAATGGAATATTGTCTGAAGAATATAAAAAGGAACATAATCTGAATCCTGCTGAAGCCATTCCAACAAAGTAATGCTATGGTTAATAGTACTAAATGACTAAAGATTAGAAACCAGGTATGTAAAATATACAGCACAATAGCAGCAGTAAAACATCATTCCACCATAAATGAAAATTTAAACAGTTATAGAATATACACAAGGGTCAGCTCAAAATCAGTGAATCAGCCATTAAGGGATGTTTTAAAACAGCCAATGGAAGAGCTAGACACATAGATAGAAAACTGTTTCAACCTTTGGTCCCACTTCTTGTTAAGGTTTACTGCTGAAAAAGCACCGTTGATCTTAATTAAAAGCGTGGATGCTATAAATGTGTATTTGCAAGCCTACTATGTCAGTGTCATTTTCAAGTAGGTATACACAGGATTAGGCTAGACTGGAAAAATGGTATTCATGAATCACCTTATTCTGAAATTATCCTATTCTAAAGTTCAAGGTAAGAATGGATGATTCTGTTATAATTATTTGGAATTTCTGAACATATCTTGTTCATACAAGGCCCTTGAATATATGCCAACATTTCTGTGAGTTCACTGGAAATGCTGGATTTGATACAATTTTCCTAGACTCAAATATATACTTGCAGTTCTGAATGTATCTCATATTGAAGTAATTGATAAATGGTGCACAGGAAAATGAGAGGAAAGTCACTCTCTATCAGCCCAACCCATCTCACAAGGGTCAGGAATGTTGTGTGTGTTAGTCTCCTTGAGGTATTTATGAAAATAAGAAAGGCAGGATATAAATTCATAAATAAAACCAATTCCAACTTACTTTTGTGTGAGACAGGGCTATATCCTGGAAATTAAAAAAAACAAAATAATTAGCAAATGCATATCATTATTTATTATTGTCATAAAAAGAAGGAACACGTTTCAAAGAACCACATTATCAATGCATAGCAATTAATGCCTTAATTGTTTTCTGAATAATTCATGGATGCAAAACACTTTTTAGTCTAGGCCCAATATCCCAGGAGTGTTTTCTGTATATGCTCGATTATAAAATGGGATATGCTTTTATATGATTCTCATTTATTTTTCCTTCTGTAAAGAATATTCCATTTGATGCATGTTATTTCAAAGCAGTGAAATAGATCGTGAGATTTCCTAATTTTGAAAAGTGTATTCAAGTATTTTTATACAGCATGTTTTTAAAAGAAAAACAACATATATAAAGATATACTATTCAATATATAATTCTATATTTTCCTACTTATTTTTAGAAAAAGAAGTAGCCAGCAGCTGCTTATTGTTTTCCTTTAAAACCATAGATGCAGATCTTTCCCATAAAGATAAAATATAATTCCTAATTTTCAATAGAATTATATTTTAAATATAGCATAAATTATGAAAACTGTCTCCCATACATTCTGGTCTTTTATTTCAAACTGTCCTGTGCATTTTTTTAAAAGCTGCAATATTATTCAGAAAGAAGCAGCATTTAACAAAAGAAGTATCTTCTTGATACGAAAACTTTCCTGATGTCCCCTCCAGAACTCCAGATAGACTTGGGATAAAAAATCTATGGTGTGATATGCTTAAGGACCTGTCTCAAGTTTGGAAAAACTAAACTACTGGCTGAGTTCAATCCACAGTTTGATTTACTTCCCTTTGTGTCTTAGCATGTTGTATAAATCAAACGGTAAAGCAGCTTTTTCAATAACATGGCTAAACACAATATTTGAACCCAGCCAATGTGTATATCTAATATCCTTATACAGATGATTAGCAGACTTGGTTTTCCCAACTTTGGCTTTTTCTGCATGTGTGGACTTCCAATTCCAGTATTCCACACCTGTATGGCCATTAATGAGAATTCTGCATATTGGTCCACACACCTAGTGCAAAACACTACTATAGACCATGGTAGACTGCTTCAAGAGCTGTTAGATTCATCTAGTTCTAAGCATCAATCAATCAATCAATCAATCAATCAATACAATCAGACATTGAAGGGGAAATCTAGTATTGAAAATTCCTTCCCATTCCAACAATCTTCTGACAATTTTTTATGAGGTCAGAACTTTAAATCAGAAAGGACAAAAGGAAGCATGATGGACAAGATAAATGGATGTTTGGAGAGTAACCATAGATCTGCTGCAGTCTGTCTAATCTGGCAAACATGAGGAAGAAAAAAAACAAACTCCAATCCTGATTTTATTCAGGATTTTAATTTCATTTCTTTCAAAACTCATGATTTATTTATAGGAAGAAAGGATTCTTGTTTTACACACAAGTTTTTCTACAGCATCTACTAAATATATGTAAAATGCTATTAATGGTGAATATTTCTAAAACATTTTAATATTCAAAAGAAATATTTTAAATAATAAATGTTTATAAATAATAAATGTATAATAAATTTACTAATTATAAATAATAAATTAAGGAAATAAATGTTTTCTTTTATTAAATATTTGTAATTTGAATCATTTTTAGCCACACCTAAATTACAGCATAAAAAAAGAAAAGGAAGTGGTTCTCACCAGCATCCCGTTTGCCCATTAAGCCATAGAATTGTTGAGGTCTGGGTCTTCTGGCAATTCTCTGAAGAAAGTGTTCAAAAGGGAAAGGCAACTTTTCCTAAAACAGAAATATAAAAAGACTACTTAACTGCTCAGCTTTATTTATAAAATGTGATATCCATTGACCAACAACAAAAAACACTCAACCTAGAAGGATTGCATATTCTGAGTTTTCTTTTTCCTTTCTCTGGTCTAATACATTCAAAGCCTTCACAAGCTGATCTCAAAGGAAAGTGGTTTTTCCCCCTCTAAATTCAAATGACCAAATTGATGTAAATGATAATTTAGGATCAAAAACTTCTTGCATTTAGGCACATGTAGGCCACAAGAGGGCATTTAAAATTAAGAGCTGGAAATTGTCAAGATTTGGTTTTAAACTCATAGGCTGGTTGAGTAAAGTTTTAAAAACAAGTGTAGTGGGTTTAGAATGTGATCTGTTTTCATTCTTAATTTTTTTGTATCTAGATAATTAATCTTAGTCCCTTGTGAAAAGAATGAAACAACAAATTTGTTTGATCACCTGTAAATTATGGATGTGTTTTATAAATCATGAGATTCTCTGTCAGGTGTTGACTTAGAAGATGGTAGCAAGGAAGAATTTTCCCACTGATATTGGGTTATTTAAGGTTATTTAAGTATTTTCTGCAAATCTACTGCAAATGTCAGAAAAAGCATTGCTTCAGAAATTGTCAGCTACAGTTTATAGAACAAGCCATAGCAGTCTGATCACATAAGTATATATAGTACCATTAGTTACCCAACTGTAGTTTGCAAACTATGGTTAAAGGAATGATCAGTATACTGACTGAGGATCTGACATACACAGTGTCATCCAAACAAGGTACCATATCAGCTACTGACAATCACCCAACATTATAAGAAAGGGAAATTGATGGTATTGGTTGTACAGGTCTGGAAAAGAAATCTCATGAAGAGATGAAAATAAGGGGCTTGGGCTTTTAACCTATCTTGTAGGCAAATTTGTTCAGAATTTTATTATTCTCCTGATGCAGAGAGAAAGCCTGAAAACATGGACAAGTAATATAATAGAATTCAATATATCTTTCCCTAAAGTTCAATATATCTTTCTATTTAGCTAAGTTGCCAGTTGTTGACATTTCCTACATTTTGCAGAAGCAGCAATTCAGAAAAGATGGCAGTAAAGAAAAGTGATGAAGGAGACTTGTGATCAAATAAGATGGTTCGTGCTACCTTTTCTCAAATATGAACACAATCTGATTATGTATCGGCTACATTGGATAATTTTAGATTCTCATCTCAGTTGAGGGCTATTTTTTCTGATGGTGATATGTATTGCTTGGCTTCTTTCAAACCACAAAAGACTTTGCTTCTACATGTAGAGGACCATTTAAAACATGTTACTCTGATGATTGACTACTGCAGTTGTTTATTTTTTTCTCCTGCGCCCCCCTCCTCCCAAAGTCCCAGGCTTTCAGTTCCAGAGCTTTAAGAAATCCTTGTTTTGCTTGAGTTCAAATAACTCTGAAGTTTGCTAACCACACTCTTCTCTGTCATATGCATATTTCACAATCTGGCTCCCAAATCCATTTTCATAATGATACTCTAAACGTATTTATGTTCTCTTTGAAAGTAACCCTCTGCTGCTTAATAACTGAGGTAAAGAGCAATTTGAAATTAGTCGCGTTCTATGGACACAACGATAGGACCTGATGGATACAACATATAATTCCGTGGGCGGCCAGATTCTGATTATCCCTAAAACCAGCCTACCTCCCGGATTGCTGTGATGAGAATAAAATAAAGACTGCCTGGTATGCCATTCTAAGCAGGGCAGTCATGGCACATTAAGAAGTAAGATTAACAACTCCAGTGCGTTTACTCACACTAAGAACGCAACAACTGCTAGAAAGCGCGCGGGAACGAGCGACATCAGGAAGCAATCGCTCTTTTTCACCGGCGACATCAGTTTTGAAAAGAGAACGTGGCGCTCGGTCAACACAATCCGGCGTACTCGCCTGGGCCGAAAGGAGGATGCAGAGAGGCGGAATAGAGCGAATAATTCGCCCCGACGTCGCCTCGGCGGAACGGGAGCGGCCAACATTCCTTGGCGCACCTGCCAAAAGCTGGCGGCGTCAGGAATGCCCGTGCACACAGTCAGCTCCAGCCCGCTCTGGTTTTTGCTCCCTCGGCCGCCCGTGCCCCATCCCGCCATCCAGCAGTCCTCGCCCTCGCCCGTTTTTCAAGACCAACCTAAAGTTGCGAAGCTCCCCCAAAGTGGAGCGAAGAGGCGTCGCTTCGTCTCACCTGGTTCTGCTCGCCTCCATCGGACCAATCCGCCCAGTAGTTCAGCTCGTGCTGGTCGTCCAGATCTTCCCCCACGGCTCGCGCAGATGATAGGAAGAGCATGACCAAAAGCAGTACGACTTTCTTCATTTCCAGCTTCTCCAGCGGAAAGGCAGCCGAAGAATCCTAGCAGAGCAGCGGCGGGGATGCCGTCGAGAGAAGCGAGAGAGCGCCTTTCTCTCTTTTGCGCCTGTTCCAAAGTTCTCCGAAGCTGTGGTAAGAAAGGGGGCGAGAGAAGGGGAAAAGTGAAGGATGGGTGCGAAGATTTTTCCCCCGTCCCGCTAGACAAGACCATAGAAGGCAAAGGAGACATCTACGTGGCCCATAGCACCCGCCTCGCAATCGATCTGGATGTATAAAATTGAATTAAAGCAACATCTAGGCAGGCAGGCAGCCAGCCAGCCAGCCAGCGCCAACGAACCACGAGCACTTACTGTTACGGAGAAAGGTGACCCAGTAGTTGCTTGGTGGAATACCAAGTGCCACGCTAAGAATCCGCTGTGCTTTATAGTCCAGAGGATAGGGAGGGCTTAAATCTAATGACTTCCAGGTATTTGTCATGTAAATCACCTGACCAGCCCCTCCTCTCACCCCAGATTAGGATCATATGTGTTCAGTATGCAGTTGCCACCAGACTGTTCTTGAATGAATGAGACTTCCTTTAGAGGTGCTCTCCCCGTGAATATTCTTTTTTTTTTTCTCATCTCTTTATCAGCAAACTGGGGCAAACCCCCAAGAGAAAACTTTATTTTCCCCAGCAGGCAACATTTCCCAGATCACAAAGATGACTGGAGTACCTATAGCCCTGGGATAAATCATCAAAGGAGATCCAGTGATTCATTTATAGCAACTTTGATATAATATTTTGAATGTCAGGTCTGCTGTCATTTTGAGATGTAACACCAAATTTCAATTAAAGGAGTAGAAGGATGATTTTTAAGCAATACAAATAATATAATGTAATAATATAATATAATATAATATAATATAATATAATATAATATAATATAATATAATATAATATAATATAATATAATATAATATAAGCATTCAATGACATTTTTAACAAAATCATTACATCAACACAATATATAAAATACTTAGCTCAGGGTGCTTTGCTGCAGACATTTCTGATACTTGTTCCATTGTTTATTTTATTCTAGGTTTAGTCAAGATTCATAGCTACAGGCAAAATCATTCATTTGCTAGATAGTGAGACAGCCTCATGCATAACTATAAAATTTGGAGTGTACAAGAGAAATAAATTAATCTACAAAGATTGTGGTTTCTGCTATAATTCAGTGGCCATTTCCACCCTACAACAATCACCATTTCTGCTGTCATTTTATGATTGTTAAGGCAAAGTTATATAGGCACACTGTTGGTTGGGTGGTTCTAGAAGATGATGGGAGCTTTTCTCCACATCTAAGCTGGAGTATCATGTATTCATTTTGACTTGGCAGAAAACTATATCATCATAATATTTGCTGACCCCATTCCTAGCTCTGTTGTTTCTGTTCCCACTTACTGTGACCATCAGATCACCTTCCAAATTACAAAGCTTAACAAATGTGGTACACTTTGGAGCTGGCCTTGGATTGAATCAGAATGAGAAGACTATTTTAATATTGGCAGAAGGAAGGATAAGTTTTCTTATAAGTTGTCTTTATGAAGATATCATAGAGACAAGTAAGAAAAATAAGTTGTCATGGCTATGATTTGATGCACATAGAGAAAGGTTCTAAAGCAACTAATGGAAAAATACTCTATACCACAAAAGAAGGAAGAACAATTTTGGATACTAAGCTACTAGTAGCAATGGAATATTTGCTGAAATTTGAGAAGAAAAGATAGAAAATGAGGTTGTCTAAATGATGAATATTGTAAGTAATTTTTTATATGCATCATCCAATTGCATCAGTATGTAAATGGTATTCAGATATTTCTTTTCTAACAACTCTGAGGAAGAAGTTTGGAGTTCATGTATTTTAAGTAAGATAGCTGTCAATATATAAACTTTAAGGGATTCAACTAGAAACTAAAGAGGTATAACAATACAATGAATCTCCTACAGAATATTACATAAGGATGGGAAAAAGTACCACAAATGAAATAGGATGAAGAACCCTCTTCTGTACTGAAGACATACCACCATCAAAAACAAAGAAGTGACAATGGTTAAGTAATCCTTGTTAAACCCAATTTCATTTACTTTAATTATATATATATATATATATATATATATATATATATATATATATATATATATATGTTATAAAGCTAAAAATTCGACTCTTGGGTATATCCATAATAAAACCAATAAATACCGATCACCAAGAGGAAAGTAGTAAACAATTATTTAATGAGCCGAGCTTTCGTTGGGAGACTGGCTGGTTGCGTACTGGTCATCAACGCACTGCCACTTGTGTAATAAAGAAATACTTAGATGGACATGGTGAGGGGGCCATGGGGTTGGATAATCAGATGGAGGTGGCGTCCGTGGATAGGGGAATGCATTGCAAAAAGGAGGCAGCACACCCCGGTCATGATTACAAGGGACGGAGGAATTTGACAGTAGGGTCAAGGCATATGGTGGGATTAAGGAAGAACTGCAACCCCTCCAGAGTATGGTGACATACACAGGAGGACGAGGGGGGAGGGGGACAATCACCATCGGCAAACAAAGGGGAAAGAACTCCCTCCAGCCCTGGAGTTAACGAGGAGAATACTTACAGTAAAATACGGAGGAGACATGGGAAAACATCATGCATTGACGTAGGTGGTGTATCTGAGTCACGGCACAATCAGCTGGGTCCAATAACACATTCTAGAAGCCGGATACAGGCTGCTAACATTGTATAAAGGCTCCTTCCCAGTGACTACTTTTAAAGCCCTGACAATGTTGCGTGGTCCCAACGAAAGCTCAGCTCATTAAATAATTTTTTACTACTTTCCTCTTGGTGATTGGTATTTATTGGTTTTAATATATATATATATATGTGTGTGTGTGTGTGTGTGTGTGTGTGTGTGTGTGTGTGTGTATATATATATATACACACATACATACATACATACATATATATATTTCTAAAATTTGGATTGCTAGCAAAGAATTAAGGAATAGCTATTTCGAACTCTTTAGCTCTTTTCAACCAGACATACCCTTCTGAGATTCGAACCTGGGCTGTCTGCATGTTAGGCAGCTGTATTAACCTCTAGGCCACAGGCTCTGTCTCACTTTTGCCAGCTGTGTTAGGGAGGGAAGAAACAGGGGAGGAGTTATCTAGAATGCTGTATATTACACCCTGTTGCCCAAATATGGGAGAGAGAAATATATATATATATATATTTTCTGAGGTTTTTGCGGGTGTTTGTATATAGGTCTTTGGTTATTCGGGTTTTCTCCCGCATAAAATTGGAAGTGTCTTGGCGACGTTTCGACGAAGTCCCATTCGTCATCTTCAGGCTGGTGTTTTCAGCTTCGTGCTTCGAGGAGCAACACCAGCCTGAAGATGACGAATGGGACTTCGTCGAAACGTCGCCAAGACACTTCCAATTTTACGTGGGAGAAAACCCGAATAACTAAAGACACACACACACACACACACACACACACACACAATTGTACTGTTGATGTGCTAAGACATGGTTTGAATTGAATAAAATTGTTTATTGGGTCAAAGAGCAACACTTGACCATATTGCAAAATGTCAATTTCAATTTTTTGGAGCAGGGGTGTCAAACTCGCAACGTCATGTGACGTGTCACGACGTAGCACAACTTTCCCCCCATTGCCGGCAATGGGGTGAATGCGGTTTTGGCATGATGCATCTGGCCCGCAGGCTGGCAGTTTGGCATCCCTGATTAGAGAGATATCGACTATTGTAATAAGTGTTTTCTGTAACACTGGAACTGGAAATATATTGAATCTCTTTTTAGAAACTAACAAATCTAGCATCCTGTTTTCACAGAAATCAGCCATATGCCTCTAGAACAGGGGTGTCAAACAGCCGGCCCATGGGCTGGAAGTGTCATCGAGAAACCACGCCCACCCCATTGCCGGCAATGGTGAAAAAGCTCTGATACATTGTACAACGTCATGTGATGTTGAGAGTTTGATATGTCTGCTCTAGAAGTTCATAAGTGGCTTACATATAGATAATATTTCTTCAATTTATGTTTTCTTTTCTCTTATTTTTTGCAATTTTAGTATGAATATGACTTGCAATTCATTACAAAAGCATCACAAATATTTGATTTCAAATCAAATAAAACACAGAGATAATCATTCCAAGCTTCATTATTAGAACTACCTTGGGGAAAATTTCAGGTACATGTCCATAACTATTTATATAATGAATGGGGACTTTAAATCAGTGACCCTCCAAAGAATGCTAGACTAAACACTTATTGTCCTGTTCATTGAGTATGCTAGCTGAGGTTCAACAATAGGAACTGGAATTCAACAATATATAAAATATTATGAGTTTCATACAGATGGATGGAATGATTTCTGAGCCCATGGTTATCAAAATGGAACTTGCTTTGGGACATAAAAAATAGAACCTAGTCCTCCCCCCATGCAGCAAACTATTTCTTTTCTATTCTTTCCCTACCTGTTTTTAGGAATTAAATAGTAGATCATATGAACAAAGACCAGGAGAAGTGCTGCCAGAAGTAGATATTGCAGGTATTAGATTAGCTGTCCATGTTCCTAATAGGCTTATGTCTAGAGCTGCCAGTTGATACATCAACATTTGATAGCATAGTGTAATGGCAGTTGGTTTATCTAAAATTCTCTTATATCATATAAGAAGAGAAAAAAAGTCTTTACGGGAAGCTTATTATCTTCACACTCATAATCAAATACATAAAAAGCTATTATCATTTCTGAGTGAACCACTTCCTTGCCAATTAATGGGCACTCAGACTCAAGAAATTATGGTCAGTTTGCAAAATGTCTGTATTGTACTGTATATTTGTGCCTCACACCTTTCATCATCACCTTTGGTGATACACAGAATAGAAATTAATTTGATTTAATCTGTGAATTACTTGTTAGAGGTACATATTCAAAAGATTTTCTAATACTTTGAGGAAAATGAGTTGACCTTCTCTCCTTTAGTATTTGTAGATCGCTCTTGCTTTTTTTTACAGCTAATTAAAAAAATGGTATTGACACTAATTTACACTTGATATGTCTGGATATGATTAGCAGCAAAAATTGATTATACCAACAAAGTAGTCTAATTAGGAAATACACATCTTCTAAGTCAAGGGGAAAATAATCTCAACCGGTTTCCCTTTTTTATATTCTTACTGACAGAATCAGTTTTATTATAATAATTTTATTTGTTTTAGGATTTTTAGTTTTTCGTTGACAGGTGAGGTTTAAGAGATTCTTTCTTACATATTTAGTCTTTGTGCATATGAAATGTTTCATTGAAAATAAACTACAATTTCCTGTCATTTATTGGTACTAGTAGCTTTATGAAGATATTTGCCCATGGATAGGATACTATATATGTCCAGTGGAGTGGGTTTACCTGGGTCTCCTAAGGAGCATTTCTTTATTTACTGGGACTTATCAGTGTCAAATGA